TGTTCTTCGTCAGTTCTTTCATTGCAGCTTTGACTTCTTCCTTCATTACCATTGGTTCTAGATCATATGCCACTTCTTGAAATGGATGAAGATCAATCAGTTCTTTTTGGTACAGTGACTCTGTGTATTCCTGCCATCTTCTCTTGATGTTTCCTGCATCATTCAATATTTTGCCCATAGAATCTCTCAAGTTTAACTATTGTTTGCTTTTACAAAGACTTCATGGGGTATTTTTGGTTTAAGGTTTAAAATTTACATCAGGGCAAGTTTCAGGAGCTCATGTCTCCAGAAAATCTGGATTCCATGAGAATTTAAAATTCTGTTCTGCATTGTCCCCTTTTGATCAGGATTCTTCTATAGAACCTTTGATCAAAATGTTCAGGCTGGGCACCCGCCATCCAGTTCTTGTGGTCTCATGGAGGCTATTAGCAACACATTCCACATCTTCTTCCTCCTCCTATCCCTGACTTTCTTTCTGTCTCTGTTGCTCCAGGTGATTAAAGATCAATTGTTGTGTCTTAGATGGCCTCTTGCAAGCTTCTAAGACCCTAGGCACTGGCATCAAAATACAAGATAGAACACAAGCACTGTGCACATTAACAGACTAATTAACTTGGATGTCTCAGGAAACCATGACCCTAAACCTCCACTACTTGTCTGTCAGTTTTTCGTACTGTGGTGGCTTGAGTGTTGCTGTGAGGCTAGAGGCTATGTCATCAGTATTTCAAACACCATCAGGGTCACCCATGGTGGACAGGTTTCAGTGGAGCTTCCAGACTAAGACAGATTGGGAAAAAGGGGCCATCCACCTCTCAAAGAACTGGCCAGTGAAAACTTTATGAAGAGCAGTGAAACACGGTCTGATATATTACTGTAAAACTAAATAGCCCTGGAATGTTGTCCGACATACTGCCAGAATATGAACCCCTCAGGTCGAAAGGCACTCAAAATGCGACTGGGGAAGAGCTGCCTCCTCAGAGGAGAGCCAACCTTAATGATGTGAATGAAGTAAAGCTTTCAGAACCTCTGTTTGCTGATGTGGCATGACTCAAGATGAGAAGAAACAGCTGCAAACATCCATTAATAATTGGAACATGGAATGTACGAATTATGAATCTAGGAAAATTGGAAG